AGGTTGTCTGTCTGTTGGTGTATAATTATTTGTAGTAGTTTATGATCCTCTGTATTTCTATTGTAACAGTTGTAAATTCTCCTCTTTCATTTTTAATTTTGTTTGAGACTTCTCTGTTTCTTGGTTAGTCTATCTAAAGGTTTGCCAATTTTGTTTATTTTTTCAAAGAACCAGCTCTTAGTCTCATTGATCTTTCTCTTGTCTTTTTAGTCTGTATTTCATTTATTTCTTGTCTGATCTTTATTATTTTTTTCCTTTCAAGTTTGGGCTTCATTTTGTTCTTAGTTCCTTTAAGCGTAAAGTCAGATTGTTTATTTGAGATTTTTCTTTTTTCTTGAGATAAGGTAAACACTCCATCTTTTTTCCACTGAATTAAGCTCAACTCTGTCATTTGTTAAGCTCTTGTATATCCTGGTATCTAATTCTGGATTCGCTATTTTGGTCCAGTGTATAATTTGTGAATTACTATACCAGTCCCATAATGACTTAATTACTGTGGCTTTGTAGTGTGTTTTGATTTCTGGCCAGCCACTGGCACACCGTCATTCCCACCCATATATCCTTGATCAAAGCAAGTCACATGGCCAAGCCATGTTAAGGGGTGGGAAGGTAATTGTGCCCACAGTGAGGCCACAGCAAGGGTGTGGATGCAGGGAAGGTGAAGAATTAGGACCAATAATGCAGTTTGACATGAAGAGATAGTACATTCTTGTGGTTCAAAAATAACATACAAAGCGGTAGAGTTTTTTAATGAACATTCAAGCAAATAGAAATAGAAAATTGGATTGTTCCCCCTCTTTTTTCTCCACAAAAGGGCATTCTATATATATTGCTATACATCTTTTTCACATAATAGATCTTGGAGATCTTTCTGTATTAGGACACAGAGCATTCTTAGTTCTTTTTTTCCCCAAGTGCATAATATTCTATCATATGGTTGGTATTGTATCAAACCATTTATCCAGCCCCCTATGGATGGATAGCTACTCATTTCCGTTCTTTTGCAGAGATAATTGTTGCTGTAATGAATGATAAGCATTGCTTGCACAGATGTGTATCTGTAGATAAGTTCCCAGAAGTGAAATTGTTGGGTCACAGGACATATGCATGTCCTTTAAGTAGTAATTGCCCAGTTGTCCGCTATGTATTTGCAGTTTACATTTCCAGCAGCTATGTATGTAAGTCCCTATTTTCCAAATAGCTAACAGAATGGTTTTCAAACTTTGGATTTCTGCCAGTCTGATAGGTGACAAATAGGTATATTTCTGAATTATAAGTGATATTTAAGAACTGTTTTTTTTTTTCTATGAACTCTGTTTCTCTTTGCCAGTGTTAAAATTAGATTATTGGTTGGGTTCTTTTTATCAGTTTCTAGGAGATTTTTATATATTTGTGATATGAATTGAAAGTATTTGGAGTTTGTCATTTGTCATCCATGTTTATCTATTGTATAATGTTACTGTTAAAAGGTATTTGATTTCTGTGTAGTCAAATTTATCAGCCAGTTATAGTTAGAAAGGCCTTCTGCAGTCCAAGGTTATATTTTCTTGTACTTTTTTTTTGTTTGTTTGTTTACGCTTACAGCACCTGGTCTTCCTAAGTGGTCTCCCATCCAAGTACTAACCAGGCCCGACCCTGCTTAGCTTCCGAGATCAGACAGGGTCAGGCTTGTTCAGGGTAGCATGGCTGTAGACTTCTTATAGGATTCATATATATATATTTTTCTCCTAAACTAAAGATGCATTGGCTCACATTTTGGGCAAATGCTGAATAGTAGAATGTTAAAATCAGATGAGATAGAGTCTCAAATCACCATTATAGAATAAATAAAGTCCTGGAACATTGAACTATTATTTAAAAAAAAAAAACAACAACTTACAAACATAAGAATTTTATTATAAAGTTTTAATAGTTATACTTGGAAAACTTGACAACCTTGCTGCAGAACAGTGATTTTTTGGCACTGTGAGCTGTTTGCTGTTGCGTTCTCCACACTAAAACAAAACGACTCACGTAACTGAGGAACAGGGTCGCCTTGTCCAAGGGTCACCTTGCAAGACTTAGGCCTGATTGGAAGTAACTGAAAATTAAATAACATTCCTTAAAGTTTACTTTGTCTAATATACCAAAATGTTCTGCAGAGATTAAAATGGGTTTAATCTGATTTCGCTCTTCGGCACACTGTGACGGGGCTTTTATTTTTAAGTGTTAAGTTCAGCAGTGTTGGTGTGGTCAGGCCATGGTCGTGCAGTGGTGCATCAGAGCCTTTCCACCTGGCATCGGAGCTCCACCCTCTAAACGCTCGTCCGCCTCTCTTCCCTCCAGCCCCGGGCAGTTGCCTTTCTGTCTCCTGTTTCTGTGACTCTTACTTTCGACACATCATATGAATGGAATCACAAAGTATTTGTCCTTTTGTGACTCGTTTACTCTCTTAGCATATTGTCCTTGAGATTCATCCACAGTATAGCACGTGACAGGATTTCCTCCTGAAGGGATACATACTTAATATTCCATGGCATGTTTGCACCACACTTTTTTTATCCATTTATCTGCTGGTGGACACTTGGGCTGCTTCCCCCTCTTGGCTGTTGTGCATGATGCTGGTGTGAACATGGGTGTGCAAATATCTCTTTGAGGTCCTGCTTTCAGTTCTTTTGGATATATACCCAGAAATAGGACTGCTGGATTGTAAGTTCATTCTATTTTTAATTTTTAAGGGAACCTCCATACTATTTTGTGTAGTGGCCACACCGTTTTACATTCTAACCAGCTGTGAACAAAGGTTCCAGCTTTTCTGCATCTTCATCAATGCTTGTTATTTTCTGTTCTTTAGATAGTGATCATTCTGATAGATGTGGGGTGATGATAGACTTTTAAAGCATTTATTGGCTCAAAAGGGATATGTTCTTAGTTACCTAACAATGTGTCTTAACATTCAGGTTTACTGAAATTTTTCCTATTACTCTTTTCAAGTTTTCAATAACTGTACGTGAGATACATGGCTTTCACAGTCATCATGCATTACAGCATTTCACTCTTACAGATAATACATTTGCTGATGATAGAATTTCAGTGTATAAGGTGCATAGAACTGTTTTCACTCAGGTTACAGCTAGGATGCTTACCTTTATTCGAGAGCAAGTATTCCCATAGTAACAAGAGACGGAAGTGCCCGTTCCTGCTGGTGTTACCATGTTGACCGTGTGCAATCACATGATCACCGACCTGCGCAGGTTCAGGAAGGCCAGAACCACCTCTGAAATGGGTCTGCAGTTCTCCGGGTTTCCCGAAGCCGGTAGTGGATTTTGACCAAATACTGAGTTTGTCTAAATTTTTGATCTGGTTGGAATTTCTTTTGGGGTGCAGTCTGAGGTATGGAGCCACCATTAATTTTTTTCCAGGTGGCTGCCCAGTGTTCCCCAAACCTAGAATTGAACCAGCCATCTTTTCATCGATGATTTGTGATGCCACCTTTGCAGCAGGTCACATTCTTAGGTGCATTTGGATCTGTTTCTGGACCTTTGGTTCCCCCCGCTCTATCTGTCCTTGTGACAGTTTGACACGGCTCCCACTGTTGTTCATTGTTGAGGCTTTATGGCAGTACGTTCTTTACATCTGGTAGAGCTGGTTCCCCTGATCTCTGCTCTTTGAGAGTTCTCCCGGCCCTTCTTGCTCATTTCCACCCAATCTTTCCCATCAGTCCCCTTGCGCATCCATCCCCCAATTAAAACTTTTTATTAGGATGGCGTTAGACTTATTAGGTGAGTTATAGAAAATCGACCTCTTTATGATAGTGCATCTTCCTCTTCATAAACGCCCTATGTTCTATTTCCACAAGCCTTCTGTGCCCGACAGTAAAGTCTTGCATATTTGTTGTTACACAGATTCCTAGGCATTCTGTCTTTTTTTTGTTGTTGTTTTATATGTCAGCCTTAGGGTCATTTTAACCAATTCCAGTATTGTACTCCTAAATATATCCCTTTGTCCTTTTCCTTAAGACACTTTACGTAACTTTATCTTATTTACCTCTAAAGACCCTTGGAAGGTAGGTACTCGCGTGTCTCCGTCTGGGCATAGGAGGATGTGCTGAATAAATGAACGAATGAATCCTCACGCTGTTGTGGAAGGACTGGAGGCCCAGAGAGGTTAAGTTTCTCAGGGACACTTAGCTAGTCACGTATTCACTCCTGGGTTCCACTCTCAACATAGGCTTCTAACCACCGTGAGATACAGACAGCAGGATGCTAGAGGTCTTCTGGAGACAAACACGGGGTCAGTAATAAACATTGCTGACATTTATGGAGTACTTACGTGTGAAACATCTGTCTCGTGCTTCCTGTATTCCTCGAATTGTCCCCACCCCTGTGTGGGGCCTCCGTTACCACCCTTGCTTTGCATATGAGGAAACCCTCTGGGCAAGCTGCTTTCTCTCTGCCTGAGTTCAACACGTTTTTATTTCAGTGTCATTGGGACAGCGCTCCAGTGAAGTGTCCGCACTGTTTGCAAGTGGTTGCTATCAGGGCAGCTGGGCTGGGCATTTTGAACTCTTTAAACTTTTTGGGGTAAACTGAGAGATTTAAAGATGATCTCTTCTACTCTTTTAAATACGTAGCATTACCTCATGCATGTCTTTCAGTAAGATATTCTCAATACTGTTTGCATGTGCGTCTCCAAGAGAAGATGGAGCTGTTGGCAGTCACCTGGGTCCTGGATGTGGCCCTACTAAGGCCTTGGCTTGCAGTTAAGCGCTGTGTGGAATGATCTCATTTGACCCTCAGGACAGCCTTGTGCACCCCATGATCTAAGACGGTTCCCACTGGGCAGGTGACGAGCCCGTGTCCCAGAAGGTTGAGAGGCTTGCTCAGGTCTGTGGTTGCAGGAAGTGTCAGCACTGGGGCTCACGCCCTCGCGTGTCTGACCCTTCTCGCCCCCTGGGTATGTAGGCACCGGATGATGTCCCTGATCGTTTTCCTGGACATCTTTGCTCTTCTCTCACCCAGGGCTACGATCATGTCTCTGGAAGATTTTGAGCAGCGTTTGAATCAAGCCATTGAAAGAAACGCCTTCCTGGAGAGCGAACTTGACGAGAAGGAGAATCTCCTAGAGTCTGTCCAGCGGCTGAAGGATGAAGCCAGAGGTCAGGATTCCTGAGCTTTGTTCCTCGTGCCATCCCCAGCGTTGTCCCCTCTTACCTGGTATCACCTTTGCTGAAGATCTGCTCCCTCCTCGGTGCACAGGCTGTCTGGCCTCAGGATACGGGGGTATGGGACCACACCGGGCAGGCTCTGGCCTTGGTCCCCACCCCATGCTAAGAACTGTCAGATGTCCAGCCTGGAAAGACCCCTTGTGGGTACTCAAACCCACTAGCAACTTTATGCTCAGAAGGAGCACACGAGTTTTGTTGGGGGGAAAGTTCCTGTCGATGGAATTGCCAGCTAGCCCCATTATATTTGTGACTTGACAGCAGCTGGTAGATGTGGCTTAGCACTCGGAAAGCTCATCGGCAGTTGCTCTTTGGAGGCTGGCAGGTCCAGAGGTAGAGCTTTCAAATTGTAATAGGCCATTAGTGCATCATCTAAGTTGGGTGCATGAGAGGTGTTTTTTTTTTTTTTAAGTCTCAGTTTGTTGTTTACAACATTTTCTAATATGTGGCCAGTAGAAGGGGCATTAAAAAGAAAAAAAGAAAAAAAAAACCTCAAATTTAAAAGGTAGTTGTTTCTACGTGCCCATCAGTAAGGAAGTGTCATAGATTTATTTTGCGGAATGTTAATTGTTAAAACGAACAACGTATAGATATAAATGCAGTTGTAGAACAATTGTTAGGACATCCCATCAAAGGAAGGGAGATAAGTCGTAGACAGAATGTTTCTGTTTATCCTTACTGAAGATTATTCGTATTATGTGCTAAATGGATAGGTACCTACATACAAGTCGTATGTGAGAAAATGCAGAGAAAAAGACTTGAAGCGACCTCCGTGTGACAGTGATTATGAGTGATGAGGGGTATCTGGGGATGGGCTGGGAAAGCATATTTTTGCATTAGTGTATCACTGCCATAGTTAAAAAAATTTTTTTAAACCTTTTTGTTTTTACTCAAAAAAAAAAAAAAAATCATTTTACAAGCCTGTTGGGCAAGGTCCCGTGGGTTCTGCTCGGCTCAGGTGTCCTCCTGAAATTTTTCATCCTGGTGCATCTTCTCCTTGACAAGTGGCTGCTATTAACCCCCCACCCCAAAGCAAGGCCTTAATCCGACCCCTTTTCCCTGCCCAGATTTGCGGCAGGAATTGGCTGTGCAGCAGAAGCAGGAGAAACCCAGGACCCCCCTGCCCAACCCGGTGGAAGCCAGCAGGATAGACACTGCTGTGCAGGCCACTGGCTCCGTGCCATCTACCCCTGTGGCCCCCCGGGGACCCAGCTCCAGCTCAGCCACACCGGGGACGTTCAGACGCGGTAAGGGACTTTCTTTGCCTCACAGAGCTTTCCTCGGTGAGGACCCGGCGTGAGTCCCGGGCGAGGTGGGCGTTGGACCAGGCTGGATGGTGGGGCGCGCACGCTGCGGTGCTCACGCACAGGGCGGAGCGTGAGGGCGAACAGCCTCCCGGGGGGCAGTGGCGCCCCCGGCCCTGCTCCTGCCGTGGGGAGCGTGGACCTGGCACTCACCGCCTTTCTTTCTTCACCAGAGGCCAGAAGTCCCCTGCCGGACCGGAGCTTTCTCACACTTAGAATCTCAGTAACCAAAAGAAAGGTTTAAAAAACATTTTGTGGGCCCAGCAATATGTCCCTCTAGACCTCGAGCCAATGTCATCTGTGCTGCGTAGTGAAAAATAAGAAACTAGAGTTTTTGCTGCAGCGCCTCTGCCGGCTGATAAACCGCGAGACTCTCATCTGGCCGCTTGATGGCAAATGATAATAGCCGACGTGGAGTGTTCGGATGGGCCGGTCATGGTACTGAGGCGCTCGCGTGTGTACGCAACCTCACCGAGTTCTCACCAGAGGCCCAAGATGCAAGTAATGCAGGTGCCGTCCCCATGTGATGGATGGGGACACTGAGGCCCTGAATTGAGGAGCTTGTCACCCAGCTTGTCCCCTGCTGGGAAGAGACTGGTGAGACTTCCAGAATCCAGGTCTAGAGCGGTGTTTTCCCCACTTTAACAGGCACCCGACTCAGCTGGGCACCTCGTTAAAATGCCAGGGCTTCAGCCAGAGGTGTGGGCGGGGCCTGAGATCCTGCATCTGTGACAGGCGCCCTGTGATGCTGGTGCCACTGCCCCAGGTCCTGATAGGAGACGGCTCCCTAAGGTCACGCCCTTACAGCCATGGTGGGCCCAGGTGATGTTCGTGTTAACTAACTACATGGAATTCCTAGGATTTCAAGAGGGCTTGTGTTGGTTTTGTTGTAAAAGAATAACGTAAAAATAAATATTTAACATAGTCATCGTAAGGCTGTGAAAGGTTGGTCGCCAAATGGACTCTGCGAAACAGTTAACTATCGAAGGCAGCAGGGCACGTCCAGAATCAAAGGGCTGCAAAGGGAAGAGTCAGTCCCGCTCCCGCCCGGGGGTCTTGTGGTTGGAGATGTTCGCGCACAGCCTTTGGCTGCAGGCTGGCGTTACGTGTGCTTCCTTGCTCCCCCCCGCCCCCAGGTCTGGAGGACTCCATGGGCGGGACTCCCCTCACACCCGCGGCCCGGATATCAGCGCTCAGCATCGTGGGAGACCTGCTGCGGAAAGTGGGGGTAAGACCGGCGCCCCCCCAGGCCAGCGTGGCGCCTCGCCCGCCTTCAGGGTGCTTGCGAGGCGCGACCTTGCCAGCTCCTTCCCCTCGAACGCAGGCTTGGTGTTTTAGCTGTAGCTCCGGGTCTGTCGTGTCTCTTAGACGCGATGCTTCTGTGGGCCTCGGCGTTGACAGACACCCAGAGCCCAGGCTTGAAGTCACCCCTTTGATCCCTGTACCATTTTCCTCAGAAGTTGGGAAATTTAGATGGTATCTATGTTTGTTTGTTTGTTTAAATTTCAAAACACTGAGAAATTTGAAAGTCGCCTCTTTTTATTTCTCAGGGAGTTAAAATCTT